GTGTGGGGGGCAGCAGAGTTGGGGGAAGGGGTGTGGAGGGGGGGCTCTCAAGAATAGATCAAGCTCTTGAGGAAGCGGACTGTGCCACGTTTGAAGACGAAGGGACAATCATGCTGCTGGGAAGCGTCTCGCGTCGGAGAGGAAGCCAAACAACGAGAGGAAAAGCGCTCTGATTTTCGCACAGGAAGCCCAGTGCGCCTCCTGCCCGGGCCAGATAAGAGCACTGCGGTTCCCAGGGCCAGACCCAGGAGTGGGCCCAGGACCCAGGCGCGAGGCCCCCCATCAGCCTGGCCCAGCCTGGTCCACTGTCCCTGGGCCTCCTCCAGCGCGGCGTCAGGCTCGTGGTGCAGCCGGGCTGCAAAGAACAAGGGCCTAGTGAGGATCCAGCCAAAAACTGGTCTAAAGAAACACACTCAATATAGATACTAAAGCAGAACCAGAACCAGAACAGAGCTTTACAAAGGACCATAAGTCTGTCAGTGAAGATGCCAAATGTAATCTGCTGAAACATCATTGTGCAACTATACTTTAATTCCTTTATGAGCTGCAGCTTCAGTGTAAGACCTTTTCAGGCTGCAGAAATCTTTATGCTGTGTTATTTCCTATTGAACTGTCTTGTTGTGACTAACTGCCTTTTTTGTTGCAAGTTTGTTTTCTTTTATGCCAAACTGGTGTAATTACTTACAGACTGACATGAATTTGAAAATCAAATTGACTTAAATTTGAAATTTTTCTTACACTCAGAATAAATTTAAATCCAATTATCAAGCGCTGATTCACCAAATGGATTTTTGCAAATTTTCTTCCATGTGCAGATTGCATGTGACTCTTATCATGACGAAACAAGACAAAATCATACACACGTACATCTGCACTGTAATACAATGAGGTACATCAGAGGCAAAATGTCAATCTTTTACCTGCATCTCTGCAGGATAAAGACTTTAATTCATCACTCTACCTACATTCAGTCTAACCATGAATATCCAATGCTTTAGCATCACTAGCTGATCTAAAAACACGTTCATGTACATTATGTCGATTACATTTGGCAGAGACAGACGGATGAACCACACTGGAGGCACCTCGGCATGGCGCCATGTGAGAGTGCCAGGGTTAAGGGCCAAGTACGCTGATGATGTCAGTGTGTCTCAGAGGGGGAATAGAGTATGGGCGGCTGCTGTGGTGCTCTCAGGTAATACTTAACCTTTCTGACTTGGTCATAAGCAACACAATAAGTGTGTGACCTCCAAGAACAACTCAATCAATGTTTCTGCCAAGTGCCTGCTTGAACACTCGTGATGATGTGTGTGTGTGTTCGTATGTGTGCGAGTTGACTAAATGACTGTCCCTCTGCATCGCTGGGTTGGGCCATTTCTCATGAGAACTTTATATATAGTGTGTGTGTCAGATATAAGAAAAAGCATCACAGGATGCAGTGTGCAATCACAATAATAAACAGGCCTCTCACCCTGCGTCCTGGACAGGAAATTCATTAAATCATAGCGTTTGATTTGGAAACCAACAAATCGTGACTGAGAGCACGGAACTGGCTTCTATTGAAGTGTGTTTTTTTTCTCTGTCCTTTCAAGTCCGAAATACACTGTGTACTGTGTCTGTGAATGTACCAGGCACACACACACACACACACTCTGACTCACACACACACAGGCTATACGTTTTATACACTTAAACAAACACATGGAAAAAGACGCATGGACAGTGAGAGAACAAACATATGGGGAAAGAGTCGCACAAGCAAACAAACATATAAACACAGACATAATGAAACACACACATATGTAGGTTTGTGCTTACACACACACACACACAAATAAACACACAAACATTTTCACACATTCCCGCACATGAAAGGCCCCCAAAGGCATCTGTTCTGGTTACAAGAAGGAAACGCTGTCTGAACACACGCTGAAATAGACAAAACATGTCTCGTTTTTCAAAAATCATACACACACACACACTCACACACACCACCACCAAATAACATAAAACAAACATGACATTTGTTTTTGTACTGTATGTGTTTGCAACATGATAACATTAATATTATTCTTGCCTCTGCAGCCAAGTTTTGTACAAAGTTTAAATTAATGTCAACTTATAACCTCAAAGCATATATTTTTTGGCTGGTTTTACGTATGCAGTTTATTCAAATATACTGAGTTGATTAAAACTTTTGGTCAAATCAATAATATATATATATAAGTATTACTGCATGCTCGTGTTTATATTATCTGTATTTTGCCTGGTTTGAGTTTCTCCTGCAAGGCAATTTCAAATGGTTTGTATTTGCACACTGCACTACATCTAGTCTTCTGGGCTACTTACAGGCCTTTGGACGGGCAGGGGTGCCAGAGCCACTGGATATGTGGAGGAGGGACCCCGTGGGATGTGCAGTGAAGCGCTTGTCTGCTCCCCCTTGGGACTGAGCCTGGGTCCTGCAACGACACCGCTTTCTCTCCTATCTGAGGACTCACTGTGAGACAAACACACATAGACGTTTGATCACTGACGGGACTCAAAGACAAAGTTAATGGTGGTTGGTGGGTGGAGGATTTAACCAGGGTTTCTCACCATTGACCTCAAGTATGAGCGTCAGATTCTGGTAGAGTCCATGTTCCTGGATTCGTACCAGGACAGTGTACTTCCCAGCATCCTCCTCTGCTACATCCCGGATCACCAGGGAATTTCCATCCATGTGGTATCTGGAGCACTGCTCTGCTGCCACCATGCCATCTTTCAACCTGTCAGGAAACAAAAAGACTTCTGAGCAAAGTTTCATTTGGTAAGGTTCAATTCCCGAAACTTTTCCTCCTTAAACTTGAATGGCTTAATCACTTAATTCATTTTGATGACTAAATAGGATACACAATGTGTAGTTACTTAAATTAAAAAATGTTTTACTTTCTTCCTTTACAACTAATGGGAGTGAACAACTAAAGACACTACTCCAGAGGGATTTAAACAGTGCTGTTGAAGTGATTTCAAGGATCAAGATGATCTCTTACCAGATGACTTCAGGGGCAGGGAACGCTCGTAGTTTGGGAGTGATCCGGTAAGATTTCTGTCCTGCCTGAACCTCCATCACAGATGCATGCCTGGGCTTCAGGCGAATAAATGGATGGTCTGACATTAAGGAAGCACATGCAAATGTGTGAGTAAGATTAATGGAAAGACATTTCATCATCATTGTGACATTTTCCACCACACTCGACAGTGATTTAATGTGAATTTGAGTAATCTTTCCATATCCATGTGACTGGTTTCAGAGGAATACACTCACCATACACAGTAACAGTGACTTTCTGTTGTTTGGTATTTTCCCCGCTGGTAACGCGGCATGTGTAGAGGCCTCGGTCTGAGCGCTGGAGCTTCGGGATGGTCAGAATATTGTAGAACAACATGTGCGTTCTGTGTTTCACGAGCCTCTTGGACATGGAGCCGGTGTTGTTACTCTGAAGGTAGAGAGGGAAGAGGAGCCACAGAATTAATGCTGACGGCTCACCTGTGTGTCCTTAACATTTATTTTGAAAAAGCTGTGAACCTGAGAGCTGGTACTTTCTTTAACCCACACTGCAGCAAAGAATCTCTCAACAGAATTTCTGGCATTTAAGTTAAAATACCTGGAGCAAGGTTTTGCCCTCTTTTAAGGCTATGGGGTATGTTTATATATCAGTATCTGGGAGAATATAATTTATTGCATATAATTACATAACTTTTTTACAAAATTGCTCATTTTTATAACTTAAGAAATGCAGGAATCATTTTTTAATAAGGTATACTTTGTAAATGGTTTAAAAGTTGTTTAATTTATAATAAATAAATATGTTATTCTTTATTAATGGTTGATAAGTGATATAAATTCTTCATAGATCAGTAAAATGGCATCAATGATTTTTGTTGTCTAATGTATATCCTCATTCACCCTTATTAAGGCTTTAAATCCAGGATTCCCAATGACCAAGTGGTCACACTGTGTAATCACAACATTTATGGTTTGATTCCACCTTTAGACCAGTTTTTGGCTGGACCTTGACGGTCTGTTAGAGAGTGGGTAAAACTTCAATAAAGGGTTCTTTCATCACAATGATCTATCAAGAGTTGTAAATGTTAAATATTTCATAATGGACAAGATGCTGCAAGTAGTCAAATTGTGATCAGTCCTCCAGTCTAGCAAGTTTATGCTGCAAAGATTTGTTCCTACCTGAAAACCAAGGAGTTGTGTTTCTCATTAATCTATATTCCTTTAATAAATTATAATTATAAAGCCACACTCACAAATAATAACCCATAAAAAGGAGCTGAGATTGCATCCATTGCAACATAACAATATTGTTGGCAAAGAATTGAAAGATTTAAGTGAAAGGGTCGATATTGAGTGAAGTCTTGCAGTAGTTTTCACTCTCACTTTTGGTCCAATAAACTTTTAAAGAAGAACCTTTATATCTACTTTAAAATATCAATAAAACAACAAGGACCTTCACTAGTCTGCCAGCTCAACATCACCTTTCAGATCGCACTGACTGAAGAGATATTGTTCTCTGAGGCTAACAGAATTATACACTGCTACTCAGTCTCTGTCAAAGGTCATTTGTTATCTAAACCTGTGCTTCTCTGCTTCATAAAAAGTCTCCACAGACTTTAATGTAGGTCTGACCTTTCCGGGGTAGTCCCAGGTGATGTTGACTCTGGTGTTCAACTCCCCGGTGGCAGTGCAGTTCAAGACCAGTCTTTCTCCCTTCAGAGCCTGCACAGGTCCACTGCTGTTCAGATACACATCCATGATGTTACTCACTGTGACAAGAAAAAATATAGAAATGTATTAAGGAGTCAGAGTGGACTGGGAGTTTTGCATAGATGGTTTTAGATAGTGTGTATCTAAAAGGACTGTATCTACTGCTGACCTGGTCGGTGTACAAAGTATATACGTGACTTGTGTGTGATGCTGTCAGTGATCGTCTGGCAGTAGAAGAGGCCAATGTAATAGAAGGTAGGGGTTCGGATGGTGAAGCCCTGCTTGCTGTTCCAAATTATGTTCCTCTGGTCTGGACTCAGGCTGTGGTTGGGAAACTGTGGGAGGTGGGAGAAGACAACACCCATCAAATGTTTTACTGTACCAAAACCACAAGAACAGCTGCAATGACACACTTTCAAAGCACTGAGTACAACTGAAATGTCACGTACAGCAGAGAATTTGGCGGAGTCACACTTACAGAGAACTATTTCCCATATTTGATACTAAATTTGCAAATACGGAAGGAACATGGTCACATGTGACATCCTGTGTGAGTTAGGGAAAGTTTAAGACACATCTCAAGTCATTTATCAATTTATTCAAAATCAAAACTTGAGATTTGATTTTAAATCTCAAGTCAAGTCTCAAAACTCTATTATTGGGACTTTTGTAAGTCTGGCACACATCAGCAGCTCTGATTGAATCTGCAAGTTTCCCTTCACCTGTAGTAGACATTTTAACTGCTCATAGTAGGAAAAGCACAGGAGTTACTGATCAGCTGTCCCAGTTAGTCACGACATTGTCGTACAGTGACACAGCATGCACAATACCAGGACGCTGAGCCTGAAGCAGCTGAATGGAATTAATTAATTAATTATATGCCTTTTTTACATTAACAAAATTGGGTTCATTTAATTAAAAAATCTCCTAGAATTGGGTTTTATTTCCAACTTCCAGCTCTTCTTGGCTCCAGTTTTGGTCTTTAATGGACTGATCCATCTCAGACTGGGGTAAGATAGTTGCAGGTCGCCTTTGGAATCTATGTAATTTTGGGTCATAATAAAACCACTAGCAGATGTAAATGATAGTGTTAAATGTGTGAAAAGAAACCCCAGAGGATGCTGCGTATACTCTCACAGTGCTGGTTTTATAATTCTTGGCTACCTTGACATGAACACTTGTGTAACTGCAACCTTGTTGTTTTCTTGGAGGCAGCCTCAAGGAAATGTTTACTAGAGTTTCTGTGACACAGTGGAAGCCTCCCACCCACTCTCAAGGGAACAGGTGGACCCCCCTCACCACCACACACAGACACACACACACACACCCCCACTCCTGCACCCCCAATGTGAACTAGCTGATATCCCCCCTCCCAGAGTGAAGTGACTCTCTCAGACGCCACAGAGCGCCTCCTGTTCCTCCTCCTCCTCCTCTTCCTCCTCCTCCTCTGTAAAGTGGATGCTCCTCACTCTTCCCTCCTCCTGAACTCAAGGCCCCCCCGTCCGAGCACCCTTAGTGCCCTTTCTGCCCCTCTTACCACCATCTGTCAAACCTGCATGGAAAGTATGCGAAGGTGGAGGCAATGGTAGAGAAACGGGGAGGAGCGAAGGAGTCAGAGGAGTCAGGATATGAGAAATGTGACTCCAGTCCATCTCCTCTCATCCTGTTACTACAGGATATAGACATTTTGACTGGAACCCCAGGTCGACCCCGTCATCCTGGACCTCCTGGTCACTTTCACAGCAAGAGCGAAAGAGCAGAGCCTCCTGGGTATTGTTCCCGGCGACAAGGGTCATATTAGAGATTCAAGCAAAGTGCAAAATCCTTCCAGGAAAAAAACACTCCAGAGGCTGCGAGAGAGATTCCTGGTTCAACAGGCCAGCGCAGGGTTAGAGGAGGGAGTGGGAGATGGAGGAAGAGGAGAGCTATTTTTAGAATAATTACCTTAGTCCCTTCAAGTGTGCAGAGATGGAAGCAGGAGAAAAACACATGTGTGTGTTGACATCATGTCTGTTTTAGGATCAGATTCACAGTTTGGAGAACTAGTAGGATGTGTCATGCAGGGTCTGGGTTGTCCTGGCGATGTTTTTGCACTTCCTGGATCACAAATCCGAGACATTTCCTCTTGTTTTTTGGCCACGTTAATGTCAGTTTGTCAGTCCATCCGCCACATTGTTCCAGACTGAAATATTTTAACAACTATTTGATAGATTTATGTGAACTTTAGTCCAGACATTCATGTTCCCAACAGGATCACTTGTAATAACTTTGGTGGTCCACAGACTTTTCACTTAGCGCCATGGTCAAAAAGTTAATTTGCACTTTGATTTATCATTAAATTCCAGCAAAACTAATTATATTTTCCTCAGCTGTACTTTGTGTTTACTGCTAGCAAATGTGAGCATGCTAATACATTAAACTAAACTGGTGAACATGGCAAACATTTTATCTGCTAAACATAAGTATGATAGCATTATGCGTATGTTAGAATGCTGATGTTAGCATTTCACTCGACATATTGGTAATGCTGTAAGTCCAAACTCTTAGACCAATTAATTTAAAATTATAACTGTAATGGTTCATGGTACATGTCAAAGTAAATTTACGAGTAGGAACAAGTGGTTATTTAGCCTCTGAAAAAAGTTGTATAATGTCTTTTTTGGCTCTGGAGAAACCTACTATATGAGTTTTTACCTGGTTATGAAACAGTCTCAAATTAATAGTGATGTCTCTATATGACCTACACAAACAAACAAGACCATCAGCAAGAAGATTGGCTTTAAGTGACATTACTTGAGTGATATTGGTTTGGAGACAAAGAATAATAATAAAACTAATAAAGACACTTTTGATTTTTAGCTTTGACCCATACTGGGGGGTATCTCTGCTGCTGCTGAACCATATGTGACCATTCTCTCTCTCAGTCTCTTGCATGTCCCCTAACTTTATGTAAGTGCAATACTAAATTGTTGGATTGTCCCTTTAATACACTTTAATAGTCCAGAGCCTTCCTTAAGTTTTACAACTCCTCTATTGTACTTATACCACAATGAGCTTCCTGCAGTGACGCACAAGTCGTCATATTAATGATCAGAGTTCGTGATTAAAGAGAATAGACTGTCCTTTGATCTGTTGGGGCCAACAGTAGCTACCTCTGCTTCCTCTGCCAAGCAAACCAGCTGTTTAAAGCATCAGTTGGGGGAAGCTGGCAGCCAGGACTCCTACTACAAGAGGTGGAGGGTGAGATGTGGGAAGTTGTGCTGGTCGGGGGCCAAAGTGGCACTTCAGACCCCATGTCCTGTCTCCAGAGGTTTGAATCAGTGCCAACAAGACGCTGTGGGCGCCGCTCCATCGGAAAAGGTCAGTAAAGAAAGGGGCATCTTTGACTGGAAGGTTTTCTTGCAGATTTAAGCAGAGTGACGAGGTCTTGTTTTATTCACAGGCAAATAACATCCATGCAGCAGCATGCACGCATACAAAAACAGATTCAGACGTCAGGCACTCTAAATGCTCCTCTTTGCACTTAGTAACATTGTCTGCTCGCCCCCTCACTCAGCACTCAAGCACCAACACTCACAAACATATCCGCACACACTTTCACACATATCCGCAGACGAACACAAACAAACGGACACACACGCCACAGTGTAATGGCTGCCAAGATAAGAACAATGTGGTGAATGATCTGGAGAGGGAGAAACAACGGGATGGTGCATTGTGTGCATATGTGAGCCCTGATGGAAAAAACTGGGATAAGTGATGATGTGCAGAGAATGTGAGTGTGTGATTGGGCTGAGATGGACAAAGGGTGACATGAGTGTGTAGGCACACTTACTATCTCTACACAGAAATAAAAAAAATAATAGCCTACAAATTGTCACTTCATTTATATTTCCTGCACTGACCTTGACTAATGTGGTGGTGACATTAGGGTGGGTGACCCGGCAGGGGATGACCAGCGGCTGCTTCTCCTTCATGTACAACACATCTGGGCTTGTACCCGGATGTTCCACAAATGGCTGCTGGCTGTCTGAAACCCAAAACACTGCGGTCAGGGACACATATAGTACAGATGATAAGCATGTGAAATAAATGCATAAATAAAGACTCTTTCAGTTTAAAGGGTCAGTTCACCACTAGTTGTGTGTGTAATTATCAATTAACAAACTAATTGTTTCCTTTTTTTGTATTTCTGCCTCCATACCAGGAGGTGAATGAATTTATGTTTAGCACTGAAAAATTTTAATTCAGCAAGAACATCTCTTTCCAGAAACTGAGCCCTGTTTACTCTGAATAATGTGTAGATGTTAACGCCACAGATGTTCCATGGAAATCTTTCACAAGGATGCACTTCAATCAATACTTTATAATAATTTGCATCTTTACTACAAAATACTATCTTATCTTTGACTGTTTTTTTTCTTTTTCATTTTAAACCCAAAGAATAAAGTTTACAGTTCCTTTATTATAAGCCATGAATACAATTTGCAGCCTTAAAGAAAGAAAGCCCCAATAACGTTCATCAATAAGATAGGGCATCCTGTATGTAGCCTGAAAGGCAAAACCCAAGACTCTGTTTATTGCTCTGAGCACACAGAATAACTTAAGGCGACTCAGATGAGCGTGTCAATATTTTTATCAGTTCAGATCTTTTCTTATCTGCACTGTGGTGACTGAACAATAATAAATAAATCAACCTGAAACAAATATAACATCTTAAAATAGTGAGATGGATATGTCCTTCCCATTCCCAGTGGATATTACTTCTACTATCCTTGACTGAGTGAGAAAATATGTTGTTTTAATTGTTTTCTGTGAACTGACCCTTTAATTTCATGCACAAACAGAAAGGAAAGAAAACAATCACCTGCCTCTATGCACAAACACACAAACAAACACACACACTTCCAAGTATCAATCTCAACAACAAACAAAAACAAACAGACACACACTCCTAAACACAGACTGCCCTCCACACCCATTCAATGAATACCCATTCAGCAAATGACTATGCCTATGGTCAACAATAAACACACAGATTGTTTAGAAGTAATCAAACGGCCTCTCTGTGCTTTCTCCTCCCAGCTCGACTACTGTAATAGTCCTGTGCCATTGAAAAAGTGTGGGTGTTGCTCACTGTATTGTTTGTTACCGTAGGGTGTTATTCAAGGAAAGCAAATCTCTGAACATTCGAACAAAAGTACCCCAAGGACTAGCGGACTGAGGGCTTCCTTCTCTTGCTTTGATTCCTAATAGAGGACTCGGGGAGGGAGGCAACGTCTGAGCAGAGCCGCAGGCCAAGTCTGACGCTTAATGGACATGGTGACCTGAGCGATTCATGGCCCCCAAGGGTCCTGTTGGCCAAACAGTAGCGGTGCCCTGTGACCCTGGCCTCCAGCCCAGCTCCGTGCCCGGTGCAGCCCAGCCCGAACAACGTCATCGTCTAGGACAAGGAGGAGTCGGCTGGGCAGACATCGTGCCTCCTCTGCCCCTGGATACTACCGAGCCTCTGGCCTTCATCTTATCCTTCTCAGCTCCACTCACACACACACACACACACTTCCACACACCTCCCCACCACCACCTTGTAGAGACTGCGCGACATCCCCTCCCAGCACACCCCCTTCAAGCCCTTCCCCTCCTCCCCCAAGCACAGGATGCTTCAAGCAAGGCTGAGCAGAGCAGATAAGGCTGATGCCCTGGGAAACTCTGCCCAGGCCTGAGCCTTTCAGCAGCTGGGCTATTCCTGGTCTCGAGGTAGCACGTAAACGAAAGTAAAAAAGGATTTATATATAGACAACAGGGAGGTAGACCCGGGTTGAGAAAAGAGAGGCAGGGGAGGAGGGGGGTCGGAGAAACTGTGCCAGAGTCATCTAGAAGGATGTGTTGTTGGGACAAACAGTGTTTAGATATAATTGGCTCTCTGGCATTGGTCTGTATTTAGCACCCACCACATCCTGTTTAACCTGGGGATATAAACAATAAGCATGGGGGGTGAAGGAGTGTGCGAGAGAGAGTGCAGCTTGAAAGAAAAGAAGTGAGAGCTGTACTCTTGGACACCGGGCAGCAGTGTCTTACCTGTGACATATACGTAGATGGAGGTCTGTTTTCGGGTTCGGTGCCGGTATCTGCAGCGGAACAGGCCGGTGTGCCGGGCCTGGATGTGGCTGACTGTCACGCAGCTGCAGTACTGCTGGCTTGTCCTTCCGCAGCGGGACTCCTCCACTCGCACCTGATCACTGGCCAAACCTGATGGGAACGCCCATGTCAGCTCCCAGCGACCCCTTGGTCAAAGAGGGGTTGAAAGTTTGCTCAGAAAAAAAAAAAACTTGGCAGGCTTCGTATGTACATTCAGCTTACATCACAGGAACTCTATCTCTTTATCTAATGATTGTTTTACCATATTGAGTTGGGAGGGTGGAAGAATTAAGCCTCTTCAGTGTTAAAGAGGTTTATGTTTCAATAAGTGCCCGAATGAAGATGCTATGAAAGGCTTTTTTGACACTCTTTTTGCGTTTCTTCTTTTAATTTTGTGATGGTTTTTTTGTGTTGAGTGTCCAAAATGGGGACACACACAAACACTGCGTGCAAATTCTGCACAGAACCTAGCTTGTCTGGTTTTGTTGAAACCTGGACTTTTTCTGAAGAAAGTTTCATCAGAAGCAACAGACTTGTGGTTAAAATACTGGAATACTGAAATCTTTCTAATAGAAAAACAGTGATTGATATTAAAGTACCTTGGGATGAGGTCCTTCTCATAGCCACTACAAGCAGCCTCCAAAATTTTTTTATTTAGTTAACTGGTAAACAGCTAATCTCTTTGTAGAAAATAAATCAGCCAAGTGCCTCTACAACAACTTGATGTCTCAATAAATAATTTAACTACATTCGAATGAGTGTCTTGGTGTTGATTTTTATGTTAATATTAAGATATTAAGTGTGCGTTTGCTTTGATTTACGATTGATTTACGTAATTACCACGATTAAGGTGCCCCTTTCTTGTCCCACCCTTAGTTCTAACCCTGTTGGCCAACCCTGTAGGGGTTTCTTGCCTCTCTCTGTCTACCTGAAACTTACCTGCAGTTAAGCAGTAGTGTCTGGTTGATGTCCAGGACCAGATGCCGGGTTTTCACATCCAGAATAGGGACGCTGTACTTCCCCTTCTGATCTTTGTCTGCAGAGGCAGGAGAGAGGATGAGTGTGCAGAAGACATCCCAAAACTCCATCACCGATTAAGTGTATTAAATTGTTGTCTAACAGCGAGCATAAGGTGGTAAGGCTTTGCTTATTGAACTCTCCAGAGAACTCAGGGGTCAAGGTCAGCTTGTAAGACTTCAGTATACATTATTCTTTCTTTTAGGGACATCTGGGCAGGATGTTTATTCTCTGAAATAGGGGGTTGAGTCCTGGGACTCCATTGAAAGAGAATTTCTAATTTATTAATAAACCAATATGGAAAAATGGTGGCTGCACCTTTGCTATTATATTTAATTCTTATAAATGGAAGTCATAATGGAGATGCGTTTGTGTGGACGCAGATCTACATGAGACCACTTTCAGAGGAAATCCTGAAAGACAAAACACTTTACAATGAATAAATATTTTGGACAGTTCCTGTAAGCTCTGTCCATTACAAACTAAACCGAACTCTTGACTCTCTGATTGCAGATTGCATGGTGAGTCCCAGCTCCACAGCACGTCCTCTGTCCAGGCCACAGTATCTGTGACCCTCCTCACATCACTCGCTCAGGCCACTTGACAACTTCTGTGGAAATGCGTAAGCAGTGTCCCTCTTGTTTATCAAATAAAGGCATTTCTCCACTCCATCTATGAGGTTTATTAATGAGAGATAAAGACGACTGTCTGTCCGCCCTTCCTTCCTCCAAACAACAGCGGAAACATCATTCAGGGAAGTCCGTCCTTCACTCTGACTGCTCCTTACAGAGTGCACAACACACAGCTCAAAAACACTGTCAAACTGCTCTGCAAGTAGTTAAATCACTTGTAGGACAGCGAGTGAGTTTATCACTAAAGTCCATTATTACCATTCATTGTCAGCATCATTGTTCCCAGTGGATGCCCCATTGAGCAGATTTAGCATTACTCACACTTCCTATACTATTTCCTTGAATTTCACAGTGTGTGAGAGGGCAAGAAAAGCACACACATGTGGTAGGGTAAGGGAAGACAGACGGGAAGTTTGCGATCTCCTCCAGGCCTTCTGGGGATATTTCAACAAGCTGTGAAGTGTCTAAAAGAACCATTTTCAAACAATTCTGCCCAGTTGTCCTGCTTCCTTACCCAAGTAAGTAAGAAAAACGTGTTATTGTAAAGAAATATTTCAGGTGTCAGTGTTCAAGGAAAAGAAATATTATATTATAATGCGAAATCCATATCTACATCCTGATGATGGAAATCATTTCTGGGAAATCCATCTACACATCCTCCAGTGTTCTGGAGTGCTTTTGATGTGATTGGGTAATCACTAATCAATGAATAGTGTAATAATAAATAAATGTTACTAAAATGAAAATATTTATGTATTTACATGACAATGACATTGTGATGTTTTTAAGATGAATGTATGAATAAGTATGTTGAATATATATGAATGTATGATGCGTGTGCATTTGTGTATTATTGATTTATTGTTGTTCAAATTCTTATTTTGGAATATGTTTAAAATGAATTGATTCATATTTTTGTTAATTTAGTTTGTTTAAAAGATATGAAGAAAAAAAACAAAGATTGGAGTTTCATTCAAAAAAGTATAATGTAGGCTATAGTGCATAAATATAAAACGTAGAGTTAATTAATAGTCAATTAAGTGATAGGCTGATTTAACTGACAAAAATCATCTATATTTACAGAGACTATAAATATTAGACCATACAGTTCTTAATATTATTTTAAATCCAGGGAATAAACAATATCACGTTCTTTTCTTTGACTATTAAGCGACCTAAACCGCACAGAGAGATCTGTGGAGCGCATGAAAGCGACTTGCCGACTGCTGAAGCAATAAGCTCACTGGATATTTTCCCTCCGTGGGTCACGACCCCTCGTTCATTTATATCAGAACTTTCATTTGGCAAACTCATCAGTCTCAGGAAACAACGCCCTGCGTGTGTCCATTCAACCGGGGCCAAGCGCACAAGGAGCCGGGCCACAGAGGTCCGCATTATCCAAACAAATGTCCCGCAGGATAGCGCTTATCTCCCTCACCGCACTTGGTGCTAATAGAGGTTTACAAGTTGAACAGCCATCAGAACACAACAACGCACCGCTTAATTGGCCTATAAATGAGCAGCCGCTCCACAGTGCGCCACAATGAAGAGGCGAGTTTGTGCATCTTTTGTTTTCTTCCAAAGAAAAGACTGAACGTTCTGCCTTGGAGATGGAAATTTCTTTCTTTCTCTTTTTTTTTTTATTGAAAGAGCATGAAGACGCCTTATGACCCTATAGGAACCTCTAGTTTATGGGAATTAACATCCATAAGAAAAGTCGTGCGTAAAATGCATTTTTCTATTTTCATGCCTCAACCGTTAAAACTACACTAAATTAACTTAACTTCACCCTGAGTCATAAATGAGAACTTCAAATAGCTATAAAGGTTATTAAATAAGTGAACCCCAGCAGCAGGTGCTCTGCGCACCTTTCAGTGGTACTGCGCTAACAAAAGTAAATCTGTTACTCACCTTTGGCCAGAACCCCGTACAATCCACATAACAGGCAGATGAGGAGAAAATTCATCATCTTCGGTGACTCCGATGCAACAAGCGGGTCTCAGATATAAAACATGCAACCAGTTTTATTCCTGCTCTTGTTGTTTCTCCCCCTCCAGACTTATCACAGAGCAGCGCACTTGTCTGCGGCGCTCAGCGCTGGTGGTCAGTGAATGGAGATGGTTTCCTGAGGATAGCTGCGGGAGATCACGCAACAGGACACCGCGCTTGAACTGCAGTGCAACTTTTTCCCATCGTTTTGGATAGTGGCGCGGATTTATACAGTTCCCACAGTGCAACCACCGGATGGCGGACTTCCGTGACGTCCATTGACACACCCAAGGCGCGTAACAGCAGTCCCCTTTTAGCCCTCCCCAGTAGTCAAGCAATCCACCAGTGAGGTGTTAATAAAAGTATACTATAGAGTCCAAAATACCCTTTTCTTCTTGAAATGCGTGCATAAAATGTGTCTTTCCAAACCAACAATTTGCGACATTATTTATAGAAAAGGCAAGAATTAACAATCACACTGAACACCGAGGAGGATGCGCACATGACAGCTCTGCGCTTGAACCTACTCTGGATTGGTACACGGGGTGATCAGCACGTAGGCACCGGGTGGTGTCCTGATCAACAACTTCACAGACGTATCTCTCAAATTTCAAACTGTCAATCTTTCTTAAAAAGGAAAAACAAAACAAACAAGGTTGCTTCTTGCAAGAGCATGTCACGCATTCCACAAGTAGAAACATAATGATCATACCACTTACAGACAGGCCATCGCAGTGTATGGGTGACTTCTTGCTCAAACTATGCCACCACATATTAACACCATAAGATGATGTCAAACTGCTCTAGGGGGCTCATACTTTACTGTATGAGACCCCTGTAGAAGTAGAGATTTGCCATCTCAAAGCTGTTGTGAAACACATGCCTGACCTGCTGTGTTGGAAATTGTGTATTTAATATAAAGGCATATAATCTGATATCATTAAAAAAAATGATGCAAACTGCGTGTTTTGTTTTTTTAATCCTTTGGGTGTAAGGTGCATCATTCCCTCTAGACAATGATGCAGACTGGCCACTGGGAGGCGATGTGATCTGAATGAGAAGGGGGAGATCTGGAGAAAATGCATCAAGTGAGTCTTCACAGAAAAGATCAGTACGGTTTCTCTCCTGATAATCTTATTTGTTCCTTACACCAGCATCAACTGCATCATGTTTTTCACGGAGCATGAAGTACAAAGGAGGCACCAAACAAGATAAATTAAATCATAGTAAAACTGAAATGCAAAATATATTATCACCTCCTACTGAGGGATTATTCACTTCTCTACAGTTACAGAATATATAAGGCTATGACTCAGATAAACTCATGATATACAAATGCACATACACACACATAGAGTATAATAACAACTCTTAAACACATACAGCGAGTCATGAACACACATATACAGTACATGGACGAATGCAGACGGGTTACATACTTGGTGGGGAGAGAACTCTTTCCACATTCAATAAAAGGACTGATGTGATTTTTTTGTTGGCAACACCTGCCACCATCACTATCTCTGCAGTAAACAATGTAACTGTGACAGGAAGAAGAGGGTAGAGACATTAAAAACAGGAAGTAATTGGCTACATTTACATGCACAGGTTAACCTGGCTAGTGGTCATTAGCCTGATATCAGCTGGTACTGACCTGTCCATCTGATTGAGGAGACTTAAACATAGTTGTTGACAGAGCAATTGTTTATTTTACCCAATTTTCATTTGGATTTTATGTCCCTTCGCAACTAATATAAACTATTTTGCCCCTAAGAGGACAGAGTTCCCCACTCTACAGTCTGCAGGGGCAAGTGCAGCTCTTAACAGGATTTCATCGTGCCTAGAAGTTTTTATGACTAATTCCATTTTCTTAAATAAAAAATATCTTTAAAAAATGAGTGAGGAGGAAAAATTTGGATCCCAATATTTTTAAGTATCCCATACCAACATATTTCATGGTGATACCAGTTAATAATGACAGTGTTGTCATGTTTCAGTATCTTGTAATCTGTATTCCAACCAAATTATTCATGTATGGCGACCAAAACCAAATTAATTTAATAACTAGCTTAAGTGCTTTTTTTTGTGCATGTCAACATAGCCACTGTTGATGTTTGGCGATTTGTAAAAAAAAAAAAACTGGTTGGTTTGAAGCAGAGATGTTGTCCCTGCTGGCCCGTTGCCGTGGAGACACTCCCAAAAAAACTGACCCAAAATGTGTTGTCATGCAATCATGACAACAGTCTGAAGACTCCAGGTCTGAGACCTTCATCCTGTGTGGTAAGTCTGTCATTTTGTTCACGTCAGTCTGGTGTTTAGTCACACTTGTCCTTTAGTCTGCTGATGGATCCAGTCAGTGAACTTGACCACCTGTGTGTAGACACCGGGACGGTTCAGCCTCGCACAGCCCTCACCCCAGCTCACAATCCCGGCCAGGAACCACCGTCTGCCTCGTTCCAGACACACCAAAGGACCTCCGGAGTCTCCCTGAGGGCACGGACAATGCACAGTGATACACATTCAGACAAAAACCACGAAAATAGATGCGAATACATTTTTTTTTTTTCTGCTCTAGAGGAAAGGAGCAGTGGGTAAGATTTAGTGGCATCTAGTGGTGAAATGTCAGATTCAGTTACAGAATGGGCTGTGAAGTCTGTAGGAGAAACTACAGTGGTCGCAAAACTATCTACAGTCGGTTTTTGGTCTGTCCCTTCTGGGCCACTGTAGAAACATTGGTTCAACACGGCGACCTGCAGCGTCTGTAGATAAAATCTGCTCATTCTAAGGTAATGAAAACGTAACAATTCCTATTTTCAGGTGATTATACACTGATGAAAACATACCTCCTAAATGTTACCGGCTGGACCTTTAAAACTTTAGAGGAAGTGATAACGGTAAGCTTCAGTTGAACATTCTGTTGCTAGTGGCAACTTCTACTGCCATTTTAACTGACATCGTTGCGTCCACCATTTTGTCAGACCAAACAAATATTGACAGACATCCGTTATTTACTCCACAAACGCCCTTTTTGGTGCATTATCTGTAGGTATCTTGTTCAATATAGCTGTGATTGTGATCTGTTAATTAGCTAACTGATAACCAAGCTAGCCATTATATTAGCTGATTTGTTATAACTCAATTAATTTGTTGTCTGGTCCTAAAATGCACCTTCACGCAGCCGAAGAAAGGGCAGAAGAAAAAGAGCATGTTGACCAAGAGTTTCTCAGTTTTTCTTATTGCACACACATTGTGTTGTAGTTTAGATAAAAACATGACTGAAATTGCATTCAATGAGCGCAACTGTGCATTTTGTGGTTATGACTAAAAGGTAAATCACAGCTTTTCATCACACTACAACTTGTTAGAATGAGTATTTTCCCATAAATGCCACTCTTACACCCACTCACCTGACATGCATCCACCCCTCCCTGCAGGTTCCCAGCGCACAGCATCCTGGGAGTGACAGCTTCGTCATACAGCTTGTTGCAAGTGTTCCTGTTGATGATCTTCACTGAAGCCTCTTGTAAGCGAGAGGCCAGCTCACCTATAATTAAATAAAAAACATTGTGGTTATGATCTAAGTTTCAAAACAACAGCAAGATCTAAAAACAGCTTAATCAGATACTCTTTAAGCAGATTTACCGTCCTCCATGAGGACCCCCCAGCCTGTGACGTAGCAGCTGGTCCCTGTCGTGAAGGTGTGTGTGGGCGCGGGGACACACACAGGCTGCACCAAGTCGTTGAAGAAGACAGGAGCACTGAGCTCGAGGAGCGCGATGTCGTAGTCAGAGGTGAATTGGTCGTACTGCGGGTGGAGGAGGATCCGGCGGATTGGTCTGGTTACCGCTCCATTGTTCCCCGTGGTCATCACACGCATTCCCATGTAGGCCCGCCACGCACGAGCATCAGAGTATCTGCAGACACAACATGCATGAACACAGTACACACATAAATTATGATCATTATGAGGCTTTCAGGCGTCTTCCTTACTTAATGGCATCTGAGTCCTGGAAGCAGTGAGCTGCGGAGATGAGCCAGCGGCTGGAGACCAGCGTGGCTCCACAGACGTGGCCGTAGCGATCCATCTGGAGGCTGACCTGCCATGGCCATGACCCTGCCCCTGCATCAGAGCCACCTACTATCTTAGTACGCTTCCTGGGCCTGGTGCCACAGCCTGGGTTGGAGAGACATACAGGGTGACGGAGGAAGAGACAAAATCAGAATTTTTATTTAAAGGAGTCTAAGAACTGAGAACTTACCACAGCGCAGTTCATCAGAGCCGTCGTAGCAGTCCTTGACTCCGTCACACTCAGGGTTAACCTTACTTACGCACTTTCCATTGGCACATTTGTATGAGGATGAGGAGCAGCCTTTAAGGTCTAAAGAGAATGAACGCATAATTAGGCAGAGTGAAACAAAGGGCACCTGAAATAGAGAAAGGAAGCACGCACAAATACAACATATGCAGGGATGTCTGACGTCATGAACACTCACATGCTCTGGTACAGTTGATTTCGTCACTGCGGTCTTTGCAGTCAATAATTCCATCACACACTGAAGACTTTGGCAAACAGACCTTGTTGGGACACACGTGGTAACATTTACCCCCTGAAAACAAACACATACGCTTTAATTTTCAACATACACTCAAGCATGTGTTAACAAAGGTTGACTACTCACCACAGGTGCCCTCCTCACTGCTGTCTGCACAGCTGCTCTGGCTCACACAGTGGCTGCTTTGAGGCCTACACTGACCGTTCGCACACAGCACTTCACCTGGTCTGCAGGATGCTACATGAATACACAGAAACACATGCAAAAATTAGTGTCTTTCAAGTTAAATGTTAAGAATTAAAAGCTACGTAGGTACAGTCGTGTCTTCAGGCAACAGACTTACAGCATCTAGCCTCGTCCCGTCCATCTGAGCAGTCTCTCACCCCATCACACACCTTCCTCAGGGGGATGCAGCGTCCATCTCCACAGCGAAACTGGCGGGGACAGGCTGGAGATAGAAGAAGAAGGAGGCTTGCATGTACAGTACTTTTTTGGCATTAAAAGTAGACCTGATATAAGCCCTAACAGAAAGTCTTCTTTGTGAGGCCAAATTGTGAGAGGGCTAGTTATTTCTTCACAGCTTACACCACCTTCACAATAAAAGCATCACATTTTACTTACTGCCCTCTGGAGAAAAGGCACGGTAGAGCAAGTAGAAGCCCTTGTGAGTGAGAGATTCGTCC